GAGTAAAACACTTGATATTCTGGGAGGAGCATTCCAGGCAGAGGGAACAAATCAGCACAAAGGCTCTGATATGTTATTCAAATTTAATTTAAATTGGATGCTTGGCAAGTTTTGAAACATCAGGGATACCAGTGGGGATACACGACAAGGACCAGAAGAGTAGAGATGGTAGCCGGGGCTTTGTAGATCATGGTACAGCCTTGAGATTTATTTTTAAGAAGCATCTAAAAGTATTTTGGAAAATGAATGTGGCAAAGTTATAAAATATCACTGAGATTCTCTTTATGGGACAATGCTCTTTCATCCTGAGTTTTTCTGGGCTTATGTGGCCATTCAACCACGTCTTCAATCTTTCACCATTTAATGATTGCCTGTTATAACCCACGCACTTCCTCCGCAAGCCACGGATTAGGTGGGCTGTCTGGCACATACAGAAATCAATAAAAAACAAGTTTCATAAAATCATAGATGGTGCCAGCTCACTGGAACCTTCTCATCTGACCTCCTTGTTTTCCAGATGAGGAAATCGAGTCCCTTCTGTTAAGCAAACAATTCCAAATACTCTCTTATTTGAATGTGACTATTTAGGATGGGCAATAACAAGAATGTCAGCAATACTAAAGCCAAAAGTAGATGAGTAATGGCTGTTAGCTAGTGAAAAAAATCTTTGCAAGATAGAGGCTTCAAACACCAGATGGTAAATTTGGGCAAGATGTTTGTTGCCATGAACAGAGTAAACTGCTCTTCAGGCCATGGTGAAATAGCTTGCCCATCCAACTAAATAAGGTAACATATATTGCAACCCATTACATAAACTCCACCCTTAGGCCCTGTAATGGGAAATAAGATCAGATCAAAAACATGAGGTTTCAAAGATTTCTGAATCTTTTGGACGGAGATGAAAATCACCATATTAGCTCAATTCACCACAAACAGATTAATGGAAAAGAAAGACAAAGTGTGATTGCCTTAAAAAGGCAAAACAAACAAAAACTTGTCAGCTTATAGAGGTAGAACTGAACAAACTCATGTTACAAAGGCACCAAATGGCGGCATGGGGAACTTACACATTCAGATCTGATATTCTCATGTCACAGGTGAGGAAACGGACCAGGCTATATAACTTGTTGAAGGTCACGAGGCAAGCCAGGAGTATCTGCTTGACTCGACCCGTCTTATGGATTCTCCCAGACCTTTTATGATTGCTTCTGCAATAGTATTAACTAAGGGTCAGCAAACGTTCTATGAAGGGCCATATAGTAAATATGGACCACATTCTCTTTGTGGGAAGTATGCAGCTCTGTCATGTAGCACAAAAGCAGTCCTGGATAATAGATAGGCCTGGCTATTTTGCAATGAAACCTTATGTATAGAAAAAAAATTGCATTTTATATAATTTTTACTTGTCATAAAAATTTCTTCTTTTCCAATCATTTAAAATGTAAAAATTATATTAGCTCACTGGCCATATATAATCAGTCAGT